CCACCAGCTTCAGATCTCTGCTGTGCTTTATAAAGGCACAGAGCCGGGTTCTCCCACTTTGGCATGTTTCTCCCAACATTAGGGCTTAATTGTAGCCTATATGGCCTGCTTCAAAAATATACCCTCTAGAAGACACCTAGAGCTGTACCAGACACATTCAGGATGAAGGAAGTATTGAAGCAGGTCCAGGATACTTTGCAGGAATGATGTCTCTGGCCTAGAAACACCTGCCAGGAAAAGGTTCAAATGATTTATTGAACCCCCACCAAACAGACTTTGACAGATCATATGTCTAGGCTCTTCTATGGCTTTTGTTTTAATGATCTTCCATTCAGTAGAGTCCAAAAGCCAATGGAATGCTAAGCACTTTTGTAAAGCGCATGGCTGTGCCTAATAAATGTGCAGTATATGTATCCAGCTGGTTGTACAACACTAATCTAGTAGCTTCCATCAAGAATCGTAAGCTCACTTTACAATGCATAAAAAGCTGCATGAGAGATACAAAAGGAAGCCAAACTCCACATTTCACAAGTGAAATCCACAGTATATCGAGTTTACCTGAAATCTTCCAGCTGTCTGGCAATCTCCGGAAACTGGTAAGCCTGAATTTCCTGGAGGTACTTCTTCAGTGTGTCATCTTGGATGAGGTCTGGCCTTGTCCGATCTGTAGCAACAAGGAAGACATATTTTTCAAGTCATGATTCCAAAGCTGATCCTGCAACTACACTAAGAAGGGTATGCTAGGAAAGTTCAAGCAAGGCGCCTGTGTTGCAACAATCATTGAATGCAATTCCAAATCACAATGTTCTTGTGCAGGGTTTAAAATGAAAAAAAAAAAATGTGTGTGTTTGCTTACACGGAGACTTCCCAGCTTAATAAATGACATCAAACTCAGGAGTTAAATCTTAAAAATGCATTCAAATACCTTAATAACAATACTAGACCCTATGTGTGCATCACTCAGCTGTAGAGCCTACAATAATCTCTGAATTGGTGCTGATAGATAGATAGATAGATAGATAGATGTGTGTGTGTGTGTGATATATATATATATATCTACATATATAAAACGTATTACTTAAAATTTATTTTTGAAACAAATATTTACAAGGTGTGTTCTTGGGATTATTTCCTGTATTACGTCCAGGACTAAATACAAATGTAGCAGCATCAGCAATACCACAATAACTTTACAACTAATTTGCATGTGTAAATACATTTTATATGTTTTATAGACAAATAAGGTTTTTTGGGGGTCTTGTGGTTTTATGTATCGTATGCCCTAGCCTATACTATAAATGAACACTGCTACATAGATGAGGTGCCTCCTGTACTCCTCTCCTCCTGCAAATCTGCCTAAACACCTCCTCTTCTATCTCTCAGTCCCTGAAATATATTAGAATGACAGCACTGTAAGATGCCAGAGAGCCCAACTGACTCCTTGCGCTGGCACTCTCGGTCTGAGTTTTGGTGCTCAGGGGATTATGGAAAGTTAAAAAGGAGCAATTGCGACACAATAACCCACCTGTTAAATGTTGCTTCCCTGTTGCTCTAATCCTCCCCAAGTACATTTTCTAATAAAACATTTGTTTTAAAGTTTTACCTTGTGGTCACGTGACTGCAAAGCTCTGGCTAGTCTGCATGTCCTGTGGAAGGCCCACACACTGCTAAATCCCATTGAGCAGTAAGGAATATAAAAGACGGCGCTACCTCCAAAATACTATTATTAGTACTCCATCTTGCATACAAAGTAACAACTGTTGACGCATTTCAGCCTTCACAGCCTCAATTACGACTCAGGCAGGGTAGGCTGAAACAGCTGTTACAGTAATACCTCGGTTCATAAACGCTTCTGTTCGCAAACAATTCGGTTCGCGAACAGGGAGTTTGGCATAATTTTGCTTCTGTCTGCGAACTCCAAATCGGGTGACGAACATGACCGCGGCCATCTTCCCCCGCTCTGACACGTGGTCCTGGCTTCTTCCAGCCAAGATTGCGGTCGCAGACGGACCTGTGCACACTTGCTATGAAGCTTTTGTTGTGTGCTTTTTAGCACATACAGTACTGTATAGTATTATGTATTACATTGAACCTTATGGGGAAATTTGATGCGGTTCGCGACCAATTCAGTTCGCGACCAGAATCGTGAACCAAGGTACCACTGTAGTTACATTGTATGCAAGATGGAATACTAATAAAAGAATTGCATAGGAAGTGCTGCGTGCTGGTTTTTATATTCCTTACTGCTTTGATCCCAGGAAGAGGGACTTCAGCTCAGCACCACTGTGACTAGTACCGGGTAATTTGCGTGGTGGGGAGGTATACTGCCACTCTGTGTATTCCATACAGCAGTTACAGCAGTGACATCATCCCTCCTGCTTCCATAGCTCCAAGGTTCTTCCAGACAGGGGAGAGTTCACACTCACCAGCCTCAGAGAACGAGGAATGAATAGGAACATGAGACCGCATAGAAAAAAATATTCAGAAAGTGATTTATTTGAACATTTTTTCAGAGAGGGTCAGATCATTGGGGAAGCCGTTCATTTTACTGTACTATAAAAAAAAAAAAAAGGTTTCAGATGGCCGGAGTCTATTTGCAAATATATCACCTGTTGTACCCCATATCTAATTATTTACACTAATGGGTGGTATTGAGAACAAAAAATAAGTTACTTTGGATTAATTATTATACTTATTGTTAACTAATTTTGATTAAACTAATTATTACATTTACAATGTTAACTCCAATGTAACTTTATCTACTGAATGCTGATTGTCGGTGTGCAGTTCCCTCAGCGTCCACAAGGGGGCCCTAGAGCAGCAGAGAACATTTTGCAGGCGGGAGGGGGACAGGAAAATCATGCGCTCACTTTATCAGCTTCATGACATCTCTGCAGGAAATGATTTGCCTTTGTGCAGCAACATGAACACTACACACAGTCGGTTCTCACCGCAGGAACACAGCAGCTTCTGCTGCAGGCACATTAAGAGTTGAAAGGGCTGACTTTCGGCTGAACTGGTTACAAATGGCACAAAAGATCAAAGCGGAAGAGACCAAAGTGACATAACAGGAGGAAATATGAGTAGCAGGGAACTTCCGAATACTAAATTACCCCGAATTGTTTACAATAAGAAAACACTCAATAGCAAAATCTTGAGGGGTAGCGCTACCCTAAAGAAAAAATAAAGTTTCCAAAGGACTGCAATGAGTTAAAATGTGCTTTTACGGGTCTGAGGTGGTGGCAAAGTAAATTGTAAGTGACAAAACTAGTCTGCAGTGAGTGGATAGACTTTTAGTGAAGTTACTGGTCTGTAGCCAAAGGAAGGGCTGCAAACACAATGATGTCATCGGTGTCTAGTTAATGGATAGGCAGTGATGTCCTTGGTCTCTAGTGAATGGATAGGCTCCATTCCCAGTGATGTCCCTGGTCTCTACTCAATAGGCTTGAAACTGACTAATATCACTGGTATCAGTTGTTTGGAGCCTATCCATTAACTAGACACCAGTGATATCAGTCAGTTTCAAGCCTAGTGACACCACTGAAAATGCAGCCTATTCATTGACTAAAGACCAGGGACATCACTGTGAATGCAGCCTATCCATTGAATAGAGACCAGTGACCTCAGTGAGTTTGGAGCCTATCCATTGAGTGGAGACCAGTGACACCAGTCAGCCTGGAGGCTATCCACTGATTAAATACCAATGATATCAGTCAGTATGGAGCCTATCCATTGAGTGGATAGGCTCCACACTGACTGATATCATTGGTATTTAATCAGTGGATGGGCTCCAGGACAGGCTGTATACCAAGTAATGTCACTGGTCTCTAGTGAATGGATAGGCTGTATTCTGAGGAATGTCTCTGGTCTCTAATAAATGGACCTGCAGTATACCAAGGGATGTTCACTGGTCTTTAGTGAATGGACAGGCTGAACATCGAGGAATGTCACTGGTCTCTAGTGAATGGTTAAGCTGCATTCTCAGTGGTCTCACTGATCTCTAGTGAATAAATAGGCTGCATAGTAAGCTATGCCAATGATCTCTAGAGAATGGATAGACTGCATACTGAGGGATGTCACCAGTCTGTAATGAACAGATAGTCTGCATACTGAGGGAATATAAGAATGTTTACCAGCACACCTTGATATAGTCATAAGCTTTGTTCACATAAAGCAACAGGCATTAAAACCTGTTGTTTTGGGACTCTGGAAGATACCTTTTTAAAAGTAAAAGTGCCTTGTAAGGCCTGTTGCTTTATGTGAATCACGGAAAAGATGATCACTATACTAAGGTGTCCTGGTGAAGATCCCCATTTTCCTATGATTGTATGGTGGCACCATCTATCAATTCACTACAGCACCCTGCATGAACAGCAAGCCTGCAATGTGTGCGTTGGATACTGTACACCTTCTGTGTATACAATATAACGTCTCTGCATACTGAGATATGTCACTAATCTCTAGTGAATGGGTAGGCTGCATAGTAATGATGTCACGAATCTCTAGTGAATGGACAGGCTGCATACTGAGTGAGGTCACTGATCTCTAGGGAATGGACAGGCTGCATATTAAAACGAGAACTATGAGGTGAGTGATTTTCACTCAGCCTCATAATCTGAGCCGACCTGTGGCAATGAAACTGTCACAGGTCGGCTCAATAGATCGGGAAGTGAGCAAACACATACCGGCGCTCGCTCACTTCTCGATCCTGTGCGGGCAGAGAGCCGTGACAGGGGAGGGACTGGATTCACCCCTCCCCTGTCTGATCCTTCAGTGCTGACTGGTGGAATGGACGGGGGGGCGTACAGCTGGCTCTGCCTCTAGATAGGCAGAGCCAGTTGTCACTCACGCAGCTGGGTGGATCCAGACATAATTGTCGGGATCCGTTCCGGCTGCGGCGTCTTAGTATACCGCGAGCTGTAGCTCCCTATATACTGAGCTTTGGGTGACGGGAGGAAGCTAGTTTGTGTCCTCCCGTTACCCTTAGGAGAACTATGGGGAAAAGCCCTAACCCCATAGATCTCCTTTAAGTCATGTAATCGGTGTCTAGTAAACGGATAGGCAATATAGTTATGATGTCACTCATATCTAGTGAATAGATAAGCTGTATACTGGGTAATGTCACTGATCTCTAGGGAATGAATGGGCTACATAGGAAGTAATGTTATTGCTCTTGGATAGATAGGCCCCATAGTGAGTGATGTCACTGATCTCTAGTGAATTGATACACTGCATAGTAATGATGTCACTAATCTCTAATAAATTGATAGACTGCATTCTCAGCGATGCCATGGCCCTATAGAAAAGAAACCAGTTGCATTCACATTGAAGGATAGATTGAATTCTTACAAGTCTTTGAAGTAACCTCTAACACTGGAACTAAATTGTATTTTCCTAATAAAAGGTGCACACCTCTTACAACATCAAAGGAAAAGCACAACTGTGTTCAATAACAAGCACTGTTACTGATCTAGCGTCCCACTGACTGATCAAAGCAAGGAGCTCGCAGGTTGCCGGGAGTTTCAGCACTTTGTGTCATTGGCTGTCATTAAGAGAGGCCTCAGAATTTCCATATACATTTATAAAGTACAGGTTCAGTATTGTTTTCTCCAATGGATATTACTGAACCACTGAACTGAAAGTTGCAAGTATAGAGCAACAGAACTCACCCAGTTCAAAGGAGATGTTGCTTGGAATTTGGACACGCAAAACCTAAGTGGGGGAAAAAAAAGACAGAAATATTCAATGTCATTACAAGAGCTCATAGCAATTCCTGTTCAGCTGAGAGCTGCAGACATTCAGGAATGTTGAGTCACTCATCAACAATGCTGTAAGAGCTTTACCCTGTGGCTGTTTGCTCTCAGACGTTCTATGAGACTTGCAGGAAAAAGGGCACCAAGCTGGCCAGCAGAACCATCAAGGATGCCCACTAGCTCACAACAACCACCAAACTGCTTTGTTCTCCATTCTTTGACCAGTTGTGTGGTATAAAATGCAAGTGCCAGTATGCACATGCAGCAAATGCCAGCACAGGTCTTATTCATTACTGTAAAAACGATCCTGCTCCAGACAGCTCTCGGCTGCGTCCTCCAGCCCCAGGGTGCTGAATCCCAAACATGGTCCATCTCTTCCTTGGAGCGAAGCGTAAGTAGGCCACACAACCAGATTTCCAATATTCAGAGAGCTTTAGGGCTCAAAGTTCATAATATTTCTTGCTCCTCTCTCGATGCGTTTCAACCTCCTTCAGGGCATAGCCAAAGGAGGGTGAAATGCATCGAAAAAGGAGTGGAGTCTGGTGGAAGAAGTGGTGAACTTCAAGCAAGTTTGTTGAGTATAAGAAATGCGGTTGCACGGCCTATACTTTTATCCATGCTGGTTCCTATGCTGCGAATCAGATTGTATTTCGATTACCTGCCAATGATGTTTCCACTGTGGGACCAGCACATACAACTCTATCGTTATGTATAGCTAGAGCTGTAATGACTGCACTTTCACTTCTCGGCCACGGTGGACAAGATAATGAAAAAGTGCACACAAAACACTAGATGATGGGTAATCCAGCACTCAGGTAATATGGCCTTTGGGAAGATCAACTTTCTCTAATTGTCCCACTGACCAATGTTAGGGGGACAGAAAATTATGGGAAATCCAAAATAGCACAGCTGTCATGAGAATAGTAATAGAGGGTAGATCTTCCATTTGGAACAACTGTTCTGATGATAACTGATAAAGAGGGGATCTCCCCTCAGTTTAGAGAGACTTCCTCTAAGGACTTCCTCTAACGTCCTGTTTTGGCTGCAGAATAATTGAAGGGAAATCAATCCAATAGGATACAGACACCAAAAACAAAAAAGGAAACGGAAAGGGGTTTTAAATCAACAATGTTGCACCCCCCCAAAAAAAAAATCATGTACGTGCAATGGAATAGATATACTTACCTCTCCAGTTGCCCATGTCTCCTATCTTTGCTCCATGCAATTGCTACAGCCTGTAGCAATTGTGCAATCTCTGCTTCCCCAATCCTCTGACCTCTACTTCACAATAGTGATTTAGGGGATGGAGGATGAAAACGCAGCACGCGTTGAGGGATACAGGCACCTAACATTCCCAGAAATGTTAAATACAGAGGAGTCTGGGGTCTACAGTTTTTAAAATGAAATGACAAATGGGCCATTGGATAGGCTATTATAACTCCTCTGACACACCATTAAGATTTTTTTTCTGGGCGAAGACAGTGTCACTGTAACCATTAGCCCAAAACCTAATAAAATGTTTTGGCTTTAGATATCATTTGAACCACTTTCAGTTGCACTTCAGAGCTTGATACTCACTGCTCCTTTCATGAGGAACGTGTTGTAGAAATCCATGAAAAGCTTTTTTCCCTCTTTGGCTGTGAGGCTTCTTAAGATCTCCACGTGGAGGTAACAGAGCTACAGGTGAACAGAAGGAACAGGTATTAAGAAGCGAGCAGGAAGAAGCACATCTCATCTCAGGTCAGTTACCCAGCCAAGCATTAAAACATTGACCTGCAGATGGTGTCACAGCACGTAAAGCATTTGTGAACTACATCATGACATTTGTAAATCAGAATTCAGATGATGGACTATGGACTTTATACACAGGGCTCACCCATTTATTGACAGTTATATGATAAATTTAAGAAAGATGCAAAACAGATTGAAGTACCAGAGGCATTAAAGAAGACCTCCATTCTAGATACAAGTCCTTCTATACAGGGCCGGATTTACTCTCTGCTGCCCCAATGCCAGGTTCCTCAATGCACCCCCCTGTATGCAAGCTGCATACAAGTGATCTCAGCGACATCGCCGAGATCACTTGTACAAAACAAGCGGTGGCTTCCCCGCTGTATATTTAGCCCTGCTTGCCCAAAGCAGGGCTAAATATAGAAAACAACTACCTGTCCAACACCCGGAACTGCATGTCCCGGTCGTTGGGAGATAGGAATTCCAATCCCCTTCTGCCCCTCTACTCCCTGCTGCCCCGAGGCCAGGCCTAGGTTGGCCTTGTGGGAAATCCGGCTCTGCTTCTATAGTAATAGCAGTATTGCTTGTGTCTCTAAACTAAATAACTAGCAAATATGTTTGGTTCTAACAAAATTAGCTGACCTCATGAACCAGACAGTCAACGTAATTTGTTGCATGTGACTGTCCTATTTTAAAGGGTCAGTCCAACAGAAACCAATATTTTATTTAGAAGTAGAATTTCCAACTTATACAAGAACTTCTTCCGCTATGTTTTCAATAACGCAGCTAAGTAGACAGCCAGACCCTTTAACAGGTGGGCGGAGCTGGGAACGCAAGTGCAGAGATCTTACCACTGACACTGGCAGTCACCCAAAAATGTAATATTTCGCCTGGGCAAGCTAAAGCTGGTCAAAGCAGGCACAATGCTATATGACATAAAACATGGCTGGTGATGTTTTGAGAAAATATTACCATGCGTGGACACAATCAACATGGATGACCACTGTCCCTACTGGGGAGTAACAAACCTGCCTGAAAATACTCGTTCTCTGGTGGAATGTTAGGCCACAAGATACAAAGGGAAAAACACAAAGGCAGCTCAGAATCATGGATGGTTAGGCAAGATACAGATATAACAAAAAGGTATTAACATCCATCCATCCCAAAATAAATCTGGCCATATACAGAATGATATAATTATTTAACATCCTGTAGTGTGATGGTTGAAAGGATGTAGTGTGTTGCCATGGATGGTCATTGTGAAATGGTTTCAAAATAAAAAAAGAAGTGACAGGGTCACACATTTAAAGCCAAACAATTTTCTTTCATTGTGGATCAATTTGGGAAGGCTAAGAACCCCAGGTTTTAAATACCTTGGCTCCAAACCTACCATCCCCCCCCCCTTCTCCTCTACACATTTGCCTTAACTAAACTCAAAAATTAAGAGAGGGTACATTTGCCCAGCTGACAGACAGCTAGGTGCTAATTTTGTCACAATCTAGGTAGATACCAAAATAACACAATATAAATCAAATAAAACAAAATAGCATACAAGGAATAAAAGGTAGCCCCGCTAGCCACAAATCTTCCCCCCCTTTCCCTCATCCAAACTGATTTGCCTAAATAGTCCAATAAACAAGGCACCAAATCCCCAATGACAGCCATATACCATCCCAGATTTGGTAAAAAAAATCTAGTAGCATGGCTCCATCACTAAAATTCAAGCACAATGTCATAGGATATGCTGTATTTAATGACAAAGTCCAAAAGTCCAACCAGGGTGCATACTGTTGGGCACATCCTAAACGCCTCTTGCAGTTTGTTTTTTTTGCTGTTTGTGTCACTGATGGAGAGGTCTAACTCCACTTACTGTCCTGGGGGTCCATTGTCACCAGTAAAGAATTTAAGGGGAAACCTAACATTTTACTGTTTTCACCAGAACTAGAATAGGAGGTGAAATCCCCCAATGGCGGCATTTGTTCTGGTGATAACTGCAGAGACGGGATTTCCACCTTATTATGGGTTTAGCAATTGTTTACAATATTTCTATTGTGATGGAGTGTGTTTAGAAAGGACTCAGATGTATATAATATGAAAAATATTTATTTAAATTCTTGTTGGTTTAAAAGATTCATGCAGAATCTTGTGGTGATATCACCACAAGAGAAGTTGTAAATAATATTTTATTGAACTGCATGAATCTTTTAAACCAACAAGAATTTAAATAAATATTTTTCATATTATATACATCTGAGTCCTTTCTAAACACACTCCATCACAATAGAAATATTGTAAACAATTGCTAAACTCATTAATTAGGAGGTGTGGACTCAGGTTGCCTAGGGTGGGGTCTGGTAAGTACCATTACTGGATTCACCTTATTATGGGCAGATGTTTACTTACTTCCATAGGATGTGCAAGGACAAGGAAGAGCAAGAAAGAACTGACAGAAGTGTCTTAGCTTTCCCAATCAATACAAAATAAATTATTTGGCTGGAGTCACACTTTACAGGTATTATCCTCATATTACATGTTGACCAAAAGTACAATTGTTGTGATGGTTATAAAGAGACAGACAACAGACATTAAGAAGCAGTCAGACACACCTTGTATAATGGAGCTGACCCTCTGAGAGCAGCAGGAAAGGAAGAGAGACAAGTAAACAAGCAATTCACAGACAAGAAATACAAGACTCTGATGTGTAGTTCCTCTCCTGTCCTTTATGGGAAGCCGACTAGAATTCCCAGTTTTTCATACAACAAAAAAACTGAATACCCAAGAGACATGACATGTGTTAAAAAAATGAGGTTACTATATAGGCATTATAAATTAAAAAGAGAGTCATTAGAGGCAAAAAACACTGTAGGTATAAAGTGCAAATACCTGCAACAGCTTTAAGATACCCTGCCACTTATGGATGGATAATGGGCCGTTCTGATTCGTGGGTAGTGTTGTGGCTTGACGCTGCAAGCCACCTTCATCCCACATGCTCCTAATGGCCATCTACTATGATGGGTTGCCTTACTGGCCAATAGTAATATGCAGGAGGCAAGAAGGGACCGGCTAGCTTCAGCACTATGCGGAAAGACCTTTTGCCTGTCAGAATCACCTATTATTGGGCCATATTGAAAGGCTTTTTGAGGTTAGTGCAGGTATACAGTATACACCAATCAGCCATTACATTATAACCACTTGGTTAATATTGAGTATGTTTCCCTTTTGCCACAAAACAGCTCTGGCCCTTCGAGGCATGGACTCCACTAGATCTCTGAAAGTATGCTTTTGTATCTGGCACCAAGCTGCCAGTAGCGGATCCTTTAAGTCCTGTAAGTTGCGAGGTGGGGCCTCCATGGATCGGACTTGTTTTTCCAGCACATACCACAGATACTTGATTGGATTGAGATCTGATTAATTTGGAGACAAAGTCAACACCTTAAACTCATTGTTGTGTTCCTTAAACCATTTTTGCATTATCGTGCTGAAAGAGGACAATGCCATCAGGGAATACCACTTACATGAAGGGGTGTACTTGGTCAGCAACAATGTTTAGGTAAGTGGTACGTGTCAACGTAACATCCACATCAATGGTAGGACCCAAGATTTCCCAGCAGGACATTTCCCAAAGCAGTCCACCGGCTGATCAGTGTATACACCTCTATGTACCTGCAGCAGGTATTTTGAAGGGTGAAGGGGACAGCTTCCCCTTAAAAGGGTTATGTGTAATGTTAAAGGGTTTGTGTTATGGTGTAATAAATGTATATTGAGAACTGTTCAATGGTTTAAGGATTGAATTAAAGGATGTGGCTGTCGGTTTGGTGCGTTTGCAGCACATCTGTAAGGCCCCAGAGTGGTGGGCAATTGTCTGAAGTGAGGGGCTATACACATTTCTGTGTAATCTAACACATCATATTAAGCTATAATATTATGCTACAAATGTGCACACTTTCTGGCATTAAAACTGGGGCTGTCCATAAAAAAATAGAGGCTACTACTAAAGTGAACCTGTCACATATTTGATTGCAATTGATAGGAAAATGTTCAATATTTCAACTATGAAATCAAAGCTCTGGCATCTTCTGCCATCACGTATCAACTGAGCCTAGTGCTATTCTTGAGCAAAGCCCCAGCCATGCCACTCAAGAATTCCGGATAGTCTATTAGATACTAAGGTTCTGGTATTAGTGTTTTTAAGTAGTGGGGAGGCCTTAGCTCTGCATTAGAGCTAAAGCTGAGGCTTCTGTGTATAACACCTGTGCAATTGTAACTTGTGTATTTGTAATACTTTTTAGGTAATTAGGGGTTAGGTTATAGTGCGCGCGGATTACATTACTTACTTTCTGTATAGAACACACCTCAGATTAGGGGTTCCCCTGACTCTTAAAATAGAGCCTAAAGATTAGCAAGGATACTGCAAAAACAAGGTACCGTACTAATCAATGCAGTATACTCTCTTGGATTGACAGGTTCACTTTAAGCAGTCCCCACTTTGACAGACATGGTACAGGTAAGTATGTGCCATCTTCTTAGTGTCTTACCACTGGGCTTGGGTCAAACTGTAGTACAACATGATGCAGGAACACCATAATATAAGCAGGGTGCGTTTTCACTAGTTCAATGCTTTGGAAATAACTGCTTTGGTCATCAACATGCTGCAAAGACAGAGGATGGCATGGTTATTACAACTACTGAAACAATTCTTTGAAAAATGGCATAACTTAATTATTGCAGTCCCCCAGGCCCACCCTTCCAGCCTTATACTCACCTGTCCCCGATCCAGCAATTGCACATCTGCTTGTCCCCACCTGGGCAAATATGAGCTTGTACTCAAACTGTATAGTAATGAATGGGAGTGCAGAGCACAGGATGCTGTATGAAAATATGTTAACAAGGAGTAAGCTAATAGAAGGAGGGGGCTGAATGAGTACAACGATGATCTCATCAATCAGCTGCTGCTTTTTCACTGTCCAATCAGCAGGTTTAGGGTGGGGAGGTTCCTGTTTTACCTAACTGTAAGGCCTCATTCACACTGCTAAGAGCCGGCCCGTACAGATCCGTGCAGCATGTACGGCCGTATCGGCTGCTCACGGGAAGGGCAGGTGCTGCGTGTGATTGTACGCAGCAGCCTGTTCTTCTCTATGGCAGTAAGCAGTCCGTACGCTCACCTAAAACCGCACATCCGTGCGGGTGTCTGTGCTCGGGCGCAGACAGGATCCATCCTGTCTGCGTACGAGTACGGACACCAGCACAGATGTGCAGCTCGGGTGAGCGTACGGCCGCGTACTCCCATAGAGAAGAACAGGCTGCTGCGTACAATCACACGCATAACCTGTCCTTCCCGGGAGCAGCCCGATACGGCCGTGCTCGCCGCACGGATCTGTACGGGTCGGCTCTTAGCAGTGAGAATGAGACCTAACGGAGAAAGTTGGGCCAAAAGAAATCTCACCGCTCCAATTTCTTTGCAGTAAGAGCCGGCCCGTACAGATCCGTGCAGCATGTACGGCCGTATCGGCTGCTCACGGGAAGGGCAGGTGCTGCGTGTGATTGTACGCAGCAGCCTGTTCTTCTCTATGGCAGTAAGCAGTCCGTACGCTCACCTAAAACCGCACATCCGTGCGGGTGTCTGTGCTCGGGCGCAGACAGGATCCATCCTGTCTGCGTACGAGTACGGACACCAGCACAGATGTGCAGCTCGGGTGAGCGTACGGCCGCGTACTCCCATAGAGAAGAACAGGCTGCTGCGTACAATCACACGCATAACCTGTCCTTCCCGGGAGCAGCCCGATACGGCCGTGCTCGCCGCACGGATCTGTACGGGTCGGCTCTTAGCAGTGAGAATGAGACCTAACGGAGAAAGTTGGGCCAAAAGAAATCTCACCGCTCCAATTTCTTTGCAGGCCATCAGGACTCCCCTGGTGCTGGTCTAATAGGTGCGTCTCCACCTTGGAATGTAGTAGTATACGAACAGACCGCACTATCCAGAGAATTCCAATACGTCAGACTTTATTGAAACTCACAGCAAATCCAGTGTAACAGTGTATGTAACAGCAAATACCAGCATCACAAACCAGCTACAACCTCCTCTCACATGTTTCACCCATAGGCTTATTCATAGAGAAAGTTGGGGCCATCAAGGAAATGCAAATCCTTTGGGAGATAGAAAGCCTCATAAATGCATTTTATCTGTGTAATTAGATGCTTGCCCAGGGTTCTGCTTTAATCTACAGATCTCAAAATGTAATATACTACTAAACATGTGAAAGAGCAAGCATATAAAAATTAAAAATGTCTTATAACAAAGAAACTGCAAAAAAAAAAACCCTATAATTTAGGAGTAAAGTGCAAATGGAGACTGCTTAGCAAATACTGACCGGCTCAATATCATTCTCAAAGTCTTCATCCTCCGCTCCAATGATGGAGGTGCCTGACATGGAGTGGGAACCCTGTGTAGAAAACAAAAAAGACATTTTCCTTCACAGAAAATACACCAGCTATGTTCAGCCATGATAACAGTGTTTATATTCAAGTGGATCATAACTCGGATGTTCACATAAAGTTATGCGAACACATGACATGGTAAGACATAAGCTATACTATTAACATGGCTTACTACAGCCCTATCCCATTATAAATACCCGTACCCAATAATAGACCACACCAAGTTGGATATAAAATGGCTGTAGCAGCCGTTTATTTAAATATATTAACTTTATAACAAATTGAATATAAAACATTCAACCATTACAGTTTAAATACAATGTATTCCTATCAATGTGGCTGAGGTCTGTGAAGACACCCTTGGTCTCCTACCGTAGAGCTCTGCATACCACTTAACCAACTGGCCCCTAGCTGCAACTCACTGACTCAGGGACAACATAGTACATAAACCTCAGAGAGCTCCTACCCTCAGTCTTTTGACCTCTCTCCTGCGGGACCTGCAAGCTCCCAGGACTGCGTACCACGGACGCACCCAACCGGAGTCATGACCAGCCCGACCTAAGTCGCACCACAGATAACGGGACCTCAACAACAAATGAGACAATGGAGGGAGGGTGGGAACTGATCTCACCGTGTGGCAACCCTGAACTGTTGGCTGACCCTCTGCCTCCTCTCGGACCACCAGGGAGACTCCTCCTGACACACCTAATTGGCCAAACAAAGGTAAGAGACCACCCCCTGTACACCCCCCTTTTTCTAACCCTTTCTGTCCTGATGCCCTGTCATGTGTCCTTTCGCCTATTCTTTTATGTCTTTCTGCTCCAGGACCTTCTGTCTTGCTGCGATGGAAAAATACACAATAAAAGAAGGTCTACAATGCTAACTTTTCCTAAATTCTTCTCGGGCTCCGTTCAGAGCTGGTCACATGGCTAAAAGTCTACTAGGTCTTCGGTCAAATCTCTTCTGAAAGGGAGAATTGAGTGGTCTCGGAACTTCTCCCTGTTTAGTTGATATTACATGACCAATGAAAAAGGGGGCCACAGTAGCATTTATTAAATGAAAGTGAATCCAACCTGGCCTAAAAATCAGTTTAAGAGACATTGCCACTTTTTCAATAAGTGGTAAAAAGTGACAGTATTTGTGCAAAGGGCACCCCTGACCCCTTTATACTCACCTTACATGTGCTCCTCTGCTGCTGGCATTAACCTCGGCTGTATCGGAGACACTGGGGGATCAGTGACCTCACTTCCCCAGTCATATGATTGGCTGCCAGGCCCAGCCAAGGTCACATGGGAGCAGATGACCTGCAGAGTATCGAAGATGAATGCGAGATGAGCGTAAGGGTGTCACGGGTGCCCTGTTGCCTTGTGTGGGCAAGGTGACAGTGTTCTTTTAGGGCAGCCATTCTCAACCTGGATTCTGTGTAACCCTAAGGTTCCTTCACAGGTTGCTTTGGGTTCTTTGAGCTGTGACTGGTTGACCTCCCATTTGCAAATTTCAAGCAGAATCACCACTAGGCAGAGCCAGCTGCATGACACCAATGATCTCTTTAGCTGCCTGTAAGGGTAGTATTCTGACCACCACTGTAAGAGGGGCAGTCTTCCTACTGATCATCAATGAAGGGGCATTGTTACTTGTCCCATTCAGGACAAAATAACCCAGTCTCCTAAAAACCCACCATCTTACTCACTTGTAGTCCATTCATCCATTGAAGCCTCCACAAAATACCCAGAGCTTCCGAGTATGGGGGAATATGGGCCTCCTTCCATAATGCAGTGCTCAGGCCTGAGCTTTCCTATCTGATATCTATTTGCTCTGATAATGTTCAAGTAGGATGGAAGATACTATAATCCCAGAGCTGTGGAAATGTACAGGTCTGGAGCGAATGCTATTGTCTTCTGCTCAGTACCTGCCTGGTCAATCAATATCTGTCAGATATGACCATCACAGCAGATGACTAATCCTGCAGATTGGTCTCTTGTACTGGACCTCTTGTCTGAGGAAGGAATGGTTCAATATTTCTTTGTATGGCCATAATAACCAATCAGATCTTCCAATCCATTCTCCTATGCAAAAAGGGAGAATAAAAGGAAAAAAAATATGATTGGCTGTGATGGCCCACCTTGACAGAGAATTCTTCTCCAAGACATGCTGATTAATAAGTCGGTTAGCTTTAGCACGCCTAATCTTAGCAATGTTAGCCATGTGTTCCAAATACCAGCAGTTAGGAAATCTACAGATCTTGCCGATAACACTGATAAAACAAAATGCTGAATGGAAAAAACACAGTTATATAGAGAGTGCATTACTGCGGATCACATTCACCATGGGAGAATGTAGAATTCTGTGGAATATAGACAGAAAACATGAAAAAAACTCACCCCATAATGACCGTCGTCTTGATCCATATCCAAAGAGGGACCTGAAAGACACAAAGAAAAGACCTAATGCTTCCAATTCATTCAAGAAACAAAAACTTCCTTGTTCCCATCTTCAACCATAGGTGAGATCTGTATTATACTGTATTGCGGTTAAAGATACTAAAATAGACAACCTGTAGACCTGTTGGTTGGTTGACAAATTTTACAAGCCAGGTTCTTCATCACCTGCAGGCCATTGGCTAGGAATGTATGAAATGTCCAGTAGCCAATGAGGTTCCTAGAGTACTTTATTGTCACTGGGTACAAGGTCAAAGTCAGCATATTAGCATACTACTGGCAATACTTTGCACAAGAGCACCTGATGAGGAATCTTAAATGCAGCGTCTAATTGTCACTGTTTTAGGCCACATCCCTTAGATCAGGGATGGCCAAATTAGTATGGAATTCAGGAGCCTGTCTGTCCAGTCCAGGAGCCAGTCTGTCCAGTCTAGGAGCCAGCATGATTTTTTTTCAAGGTGACAGCTCTGGTGACAACACACAGAGAAGGCCTCAAAACTTAGGTGGCAGCTGTAGTTTATAAAGGAACATTGGCTAACTGGCTCCTGGGATTTGTCCAGCCCTGCCTTAGCTTCCTGTGTCCCATCTTGATTGGAACATACATATGTATACATTGGATCTGTAGCTTTGCATGGGCAAATATACATAGAAGTTGAAGTCCCCATACCACCCTCTATATCCTTTTACTGAAGGTTTCCTTTAAAGTAAGTGTATAAAAAAAAAATTTGTAGGTTTTGGATAGTATGTGGACAAGTTAAATACTCAATTTAACTGTTAATTGTACCTCCACTAGAGATATTCACCCTCACTATTGGTCCTGGTGACCATCGTCTCTGATGCAGAAAGAGATGGGAAGTCTTATATTTTTGAGTTGTCACAGTAACAAGAGGCAAGTGGAAATCTTCAGACTAGTTTTTACCGCTATGTGTACCTCCACTGGAGAGATTCACCAATTGTATTGTAAGCACATGACGCTTGAATAGCTTCAGCCAGGGAATGACAGCTGCCAGTGGCAAGATTCCGCAGACGGCAGCCGAACGTAAATACAGCAGGTAGTGGGCTGGTGCAATAGCCAGCGGGCTGGTGCAATAGCCAGCCTGCTATTGGCCATTTCAAATTGCAATAGCCAATAGCAGGCTGGGTATTGCAACCACCCACTCCTTGCTGTGTCCTCCTACCACCGTAAACAAGAGAGAGCTAGGGGATCCAACCAACTAATCGATAATGAGAATAGTTGACGACTATTCTCATTATCCATTATTATCAATTAATCGATTAGTGGGTTACAGCCCTACCCTACTCTATCCAAAACTAAACCAAATGTTTAGGCTTTATATGTACACTTTAAAACATAACTCCAGCTAAAATTTTTAATTTAGTTTTGGATAGAGCAGAGAGAGTTATTGGGGAGGGCAGGAAGTGATAGAAAGTCTCTCCAATTGGGACACATTTTTTGTAGAGTGGGGAAGAGTTATAACTCTTCCCCATTTCTTGTATGGATATCACAAGAACAAGACGTGATGGAAAATGGGGGTCACAGAAAGAAATAAAAAGAGTTGGCTGGATTAGGGCTTTAAAAGAAAGCTGGCATGAAAGAATAATGGAGCCTGCCACAGCAGATCTCAACATCTGAACATGTTAGTTGCTTGGCTATCACCCTCTGACTTCAATATTCTGGATTACGGACCCAGAACATGAATGCAGATAAGCACTTTGGACTTTTATTTGACTTTCCTGACTGGTACGCTTGTTCTTACTATACAAAAAAACTGAAGCCATAGGTTCAGAATAACTGGCATTTTCCATGTTACAGGTGTACTTTAAAGTAACAGAGTCTTGAAAAATAAATATTAAAACTCTGATATCTTGTAAAAAAGTGGAAAGTGTATATAAGTGTATACCTTTCCTGGTACCCATGGCGAATCCTGAAAAATCTCCCCCAGAAGTCCGCTGGGAAACAAACTTCTGGGAGTTTCCATCTCCTGAGCCCTACGCAGCTCACTCTGGCTGCTCCTGCTAACCTTCATGTCAGTACCACGCCGCAGGTACCGAGAGAGGTGAGTATACACTCTTCATTTACAGGTAACAGGAGTTTTAATATCTATTTTGTGCAACAGGGTCCCTTCAACCTTAGGACTCATTCACACCAACACATTTGCTAAAAGAGTGAGCTGTGTAGGGGCAGGGCACTGCATTGTGGTTGTTACAATGTGTCACATGGTTTCCTTTTTGTTAAAACTAAAACAAAATGACACTTTGCCTTGGTGAGGCATGTCTGCATTTTATTGCAACACATTGCAACGCAACCCATCTCAACGCAGCGTTATGCTGTGAACAGGGCACATAGGAAACAACTGTTTTCTATGTGCCCTGGTGTTGAGCCTGCGTTGTTCTGCACAGATCAACGCTGCTCAACTGATGTGGTGTGAAGAAGAAGATGTTCCCATATCCTTGCAAATGACAGAGACCCAGAATAAAGTATTTATAGGAAAGGTACAGCCAGTCCCCTCGGTGATCCATTATTCATGACAAGTTAAAAAATAACACAGAGGTGTTAATCTGACCCCTGGTGCCCATCGTGTACCCCAAGCAGGAGAACAAAGGGATTGGGAAGGGGCGAGAGGTGATGAGTGAGCAGAGTAATGGACTGTGCTGGAGACATGAGAAGAATTCCAGGTATGCAAGAGACAAATCTCCCCTCCCCGCCATCTCCATACACCTCCCATAGTCACAGTGCTCCCAGCAGTGGTGGCACTGACAGGGGGTGTAGCCAGGGACAAGTTATTCTCCTCCTCACCCCCAAGGCACTTGCAGAATCCCAGCTGCTGTTTTCTGCAGGGAGGGAATATGGAATGTGCTGTATAATCCTTATCTCCAGTACAGGCATCCTTCCCAGTGTCTGCTCCTGTTGTGCCAACATCCTTTTATATCAATGTGATTTTACACTCCCATGTGCACCTAAAAACTAATTAAAGTAGATCTAAATCACTAGAGTGTCACATAAGATTTAGCATCTTAAAGTTAAACTCCAGGCACAAAAACCTCCAGGTACATATATTCCTCAATAACCACAAAGCATATAAATCCACTTTATGTGCATTAAATGCCTTTGCAAACCCAGATATCACCTTGTACAAGTAGCAGTGACATCATCACTGTGTTGTACAAAATATGTGCACAGAGCAGAGCTGTGGGAGGGATCTAGCAGGCCCCACCCACTAGAGGCTGCCTTTAGAAAACCACAGGCTTTGGTTTTCTAAAAGGCAGGGGGCAGAGAGAAGACCAGTCACTTCTAGCATTATCTGCACTATGCCTCTAGGGTAGGCCTTATGGCTAACCTGGGGAAATATTTTTGCACTCCAGCCGCAAGGCCTGTCAGCGTTGTGCACTGACACTTTATTTTTGCACGATTGAGTATCTATGACTTCACAGAAGACAGAGGATGTGGGTACCTTCAGGGCCCTTCCTGACGTTGGGGAGTTAGGTTATGTGACCTCTACGGGCTGCCCTGCCTCCCCCCACTCGGGGGTCTCTCTTCGAGAGAGCTCCCAACCCAGTACTCAGTGGGCCTGTTTCGGCAGGACCATGAGGAGAGGGGTCCGCCGCCCTTCGGGTAGGTGGACCTAAGTCGTTCCTGCCCCTGTCAGGAGCCTTGCACCCCAGGAAGGAGGGGGGGGGGGTCAGGAAATCGAGGCCCTTTCTCTTCGGAGAAGGTCCAAAGCACCCTTGTGCACTTTTTGTTTTTAGTGTGCTATGATTTCACAGTTCACTTTTTTTGGGGTGAAGTTTGCCTTTGATGCACGCATCACGGACCTTAAACTCACTGGCGGTCTGATTATGCAGTATTTTTGCATACCAAAAGCGGTACATTGTTTTAAAAAAATAGTAATAACAAAAAATGGTCCAGTAAATGGGAATTCTGGGGGCGCTGCCTGATCAGTGCCACAGTCAATAGAGTACCAAGTTCACACATTGCTGAGCTCGGTCGCAGAATCGTCGCTGTCGTCACTTTCAGTGTGTGATGACGAATTTCCCCACGAATCGATATCGCTCAATTCTACAAGTGATTCTAAATCACTATCGCTGTTTTCTACCTGGTCTAAAACCGCTTTGGACTTAAGGAACGCTTTTTGGATGCCATGTACGTTCTCAAATTTCCAGGCAGAAAGAACAGTAAAAGCGCAGGCAGGGCACTGGACAAAGCTCTAGGGACAAAACTGAGGTGAAATGGTTTGATACAGTAATGTAATTATAGCAGATTACATTGTATTGTGTGTATATTGCATGTTTTCACTTTTGAATTTCCCTCCGGCTCCACCCCAGCCCCCCCGTGACGGCAAAAACGAAACTAAAAGTCGGATGCCGGCATCGGCCGGGCGCACACAGCAGAGGACACCGCGGGCTCGTAGGGACAAGGTAAGTGACACTTTTATGTAATCCCGAGTGTAGCTCGGGGTTACCGCTATTGGTACTGAAAGTGAACCCCGAGCCACACTCAGGAATACCGCCAGGGAGGTTAAAAAAAAAAAAAAAATTATCTCCTTACTCGCTCTCTCCTGGCTGTCTCTCCTGGTTGTCTCCTGTATATTCTCCCAAAAAAATTCTCCACAGCACTAGACTGCTCAGGTTTTGCTTGAAGAAAATGTGGCAACCCTAGTTGGGGAGGGGGGTATATGTGCGCACATTTGGTAAATGATGGTTATATATTTTCTTGAAATATATTGACTTTTTATACTTTACGCTTGTCTTCTTTGAAGAATATTTATTTGATCATATGGTCTCTCAGCTGATCCCTGATGTGTAGTCAGGTGGGAACCCACTGTGTAAAATACCAACGATAAACAAAGTATATGAATAAACTGCTTAATCTCATAGATCTGTCGTGGAGGAAAAAAAATACCGAATATCTCAGCAGGAGATAAACAAACCAGTGAAAGACATAAATTACAGCAAGCTTCATCACATGATCG